AAGAACAGCCTCAGCTACACAGTTAGTTCAAGTCCAACATGAGCTGTATGAGACCCTGTCTCATTAAAAAATCAATATAGAAAAGTAAACACCAACAAGCTACAAACCCTTCAATCTGCTATGGTGGCCGGCACATAAGCATGCTGGTGCAATAGTGGCACAAGGCATGTGGGGTAACCAACCAACCAACCAAGATCTGATTTGATTTAAGGCTCACTCCATGAGACGGAGCCCATGCCTGACATTGCTCCAGTGGTCAAGAACCTGAGACGAGACAGGCCAATGATCTATGGGAAAATCAAAAAGTACTGTTCTGCTAAAGCGGTGGTTCTCAACCTTCCTAATGCTGTGGCCCTTTAATACAGTTCTTCAAGTTGTGGTGACCCACCAACCATAAAATTGTTTCATTGCTACTTCATAAGTGTAATTTTGCTAGTGTTACGAATCATAATGTAAATATCTGATATGCAGGCTGTCTGATATGTGACCCCCCCAAAGGGGTTGAGACCCACAGATTGAGAAATCCTGTGCTAAAGGTATGTAACAATAAAATGATTCCTAACGACATTCTGCTATAATTATAGATCGCTGTCTTGCTCAGCCATCATCAGAGAAGCTTCCTCCTGCAGCAGGTGGGAACAATACATGGATACACAGCTGGACAATGTGCAGAGAGAGACCTTGGAACACTCGGCCCAGGGGAGGTTTCCATCAAATCCCTCCCCGAATAGCTCAGGGAACCAAAAGGAGGAGGAAGCATAGAGATTGTAAGAGCCAAAGGGGATGAAAGACACTAGGAAACAAGGCCTTCTAAACACAGCAGGACTGACACACACAGTAACTCACCGAGGCCGAGGCAGCGTGCACAGGGTCCACATGGGTCTGCACCTGATGGGGTCCTAGAGCTGAGTGGAGAATTAATACCTGCCCCACCCCTAGCCCAGAAGCTGTCTCCAACTGATAGCCACTCATAAATGAAAGATTAGTTTTCTCCAAGAGTCTCACTAGGGAAACAAGCCACTCTTAAGAGTAGGTAATGGCCAATACAAAATGAGTTCAATGGTATCTTTGAGTGTTCTTTGCTTCATAATTCTGGGACAGAGCTTTTTTTTTTTTAACCGTACATGTTCTTTGCATATATATTATGGTTTGAGTTTTATGGGGGATTTTTGGGGGGATTCCTCTGTGTGTGTGTGTGTGTGTGTGTGTGTGTGTGTGTGTGTGTCTGTATGAGTTTCTCCTTTGACTCTTCTTTTTATTTGTTTTGTCCTATTCCAAGTTGTTTGTTTTTGTTGTATCTTATTTTATTTAATTATTATTCCTTGGAAGCCTGAAAGGGTGTGGATTGAAATGGGAGAGGAGGTGGGGAGGAGCTGGGAAGAGCTAGGGGAGGGGAAACCAATATACTGTAAGAAAAGAAATACATTTTCAATAAAAGAAAAAAGAAAAATAAGGAGGAAAAAATTAATATTTAATATCAAGACTCACTGGGATCACCTCCAGGCACTCCCATGCTCTTGCCAGGACTCTGATCTCTACACAACCACTCCTAAGGGACACCCCAGCACAGAATCCTTCTGTGTGGCCCATGCATGCCACCAGTCACACAGAACACCCCGCTCCCTCTTCTATCATCAACTCTGGACAAAAAGGCTGAAAGCTAAACAAGTACTGGTCCCTGGGGAACTGATCCAAACAGCGCAGGGCCTGGCAGTGCCAGTGCAAGGGCTTGAAAAGACAAACAACACACAGGCTTGTCTTTGTCATGGCTGACCCCCGCTTACAGCCAGACGCAGCAACAGCAGCTGTAAGAGAAAAACGCCTTTCTCTCCACGAAGTAACTGAATCCAGTTTTGAATTGAGGTTGTATGTTAATGGAGTTTAGGAAAGATGAGTGTCTTAGATTTGTCTGTTCCCAGCTGAGCTAGCTATCTTTTTTTATTTTTATTTTTCCAGTTAACTCCAGCTAAGCAGAATCTGAGAGCATCCTTGAGCAGTAAAATCTCACCTACACACTCACCAAGAGCTATGCTGGGAATCCTTGAGGCTGAACGTGGCCTCCTGGGTGGAACCCAAGACAAGCCCTCTGCATACTGGTTTCTACTCTCTGTAACTTTGGGGGCATTTTTAAATAACTCAATTCTCAGAAATGCTTTAGATTGGCTTTATTGAAATTCCTTTTCAATAAAGTTCCTTTGTCTGATTAACTACGGTCTCTGGGGACTCCCTACAGGACTTGGGGGTGATTGGAATTACTGGTTGGATCAGATTTGGCTTTTTTTGTTTTTGTGTTTGTTTGTTTGTTTTGTCTTTTCTCGGGGCTATTGCTGCTTGCTTTACTGTGGAGGAAATGAAGTTGTCCCTGTTGGAGCATCTGCCACCCACATCAGAACATCAGGTTTTATACCACCCAACTGCAGCCCTGCCCTGGGGCCTTCATTCTTTAGTTCTTCACCAGAAACTCTCAATAGAGCAGGTTGTACATTTTTTTCAAGATGACTTTGGTGGTCCTACATTGGCAAAATTTAAAACCAGTGAGGTTTCTTCCTTAGAGAGAAAAACAAAAGGCTCTTGGGTAGCCACTGTGTTCACAGGATTCTCTCTGTGTGGATGCTACTATAGCATGTGGCAGTCCAGTCCTCTGGCGAAGGCTTGGCCATCCATGTCACCCAGCTCTTAGTAAGGTGGCTATTTGCAATGGTGTGGAACGGTACATGGGAAGCTGCAGGGCCACAAGGTGGAGAGACACCAGTGACACTAGGGCACACATTCCTCAGCCTAATGATGACAGGAAAGAACAGGTTCTTCCTCCTGAGACAAAGAGCCATGTGGAAGGACCTTCTAACCAGACCTATGACAAAGCCACCAGGGCAACCCCATAGCAAAGAACAGGGGAACCCCTACCTGCAGCTCCTGATCTCTGTTCTATCCCAATCCTGCTGGGGGACCACACAGTAAGGGAAGCCAGGCAGTAATGGGGTCCTGTGGATGTACCATGAAAGTCAGCCTTCTGGGGTATGAGCAACACCGAGGACAAACTGGAAGGGCCAGTCAGAACAAGCCAGCCTGAATGCAGTACCTAAAGCTGCTAGTCAAGTGCCAAGCACCTAAAACATGCTATTTTCCCCCTGAACAAACATAAGGAAGTGGAATGAACAAATTGTTGAGACATGGGAGAAAACATACCCATAGCAGAAGAAAGGTGATTAAACATCAGTGAGTTGAATGGAAATGTTTAGAGGAGGGAGGGCTCTGTGGCCTGGAGTAAACAGAAAGGGTACCGTGGATAGAACGGAAAACTGGGCCTTCAAGGGGTGCAAAGTCGAGTCAGCAGAGAAGAGAATGGGTAGGAAGCAGGACCAAACACCTACATGAGAAGTAGCAACCCAGAGTGTCACCAGAGTGTACACAGGGCATGCAGTTTGAGCAAGGATGAGATGTTGGCCCTGGCTGTAAAGGACAATGGGACAGCCTTGCAGTATGGGAAGTTGTTGCGGCAGCAGGCAGGCATTGGCCCCTGGTCTACAGAACAGTAGAGGCAGTCTGGGGAGGACAAAGCCAGACAAGGGTGAGTGTGCTAGTGGGTGAAGAAGGAAAGACTGGAAGTGAGAAGGGACCAAGAGTTGGTCCAAGTAGACTAAAGAGAAAGGAGGCCACTGACCTTGCCAGAGACTGAGTTTGAAGCTGGAAAATTACAGAATTCATAGCACAGGGCCCTCCTGAGGTGGCCTGTGTTCTCTTCAGGGACCAATCTGCCACTAGACTCCAGTGCCACAGGAGGATCAGGCAATTCCTGGCGCTCCTCCAATCCTGAAATCCACAGTGAAAACTGCCCCCAATGGAGATGGAAGGGCAGCCAGACTGATACCCCAACCTCCTCAGGTCTCAAGGGGACCCAGGAAATTCCATCCAGAAACCCTGTCTTCACACAGGCAGTCTAGAGTCAGGATGAACAGATAAAAATTTCTAGTGACCAGGGGACTAGAAAGATAGCTCAGCGATTAAGAGCACTAGCTGCTCTTCCAGAGGACCTGGGTTCAATCCCCAGCACCCACATGGCAGTTCACAACTGTCTGTAACTCCAGTTCCAGGGCTACACACACACACACACACACACACACACACACACACACACACACACTTTCAAGGACAGCTCAGGTTGCATAAAATTCCATCCTAAAAAATTTGCAAAACTAAAAATCTTTCTAATTTGGCTTCGACATTCCCACTGGATTTTCTCAAGAACAGCAGCAGCTCCTGGCTCCTCCTCAACCTTCACAGCTCCTTACGGAACCTTCACTGTTGGTCACCCCTTCAGAAAATCCCTCCCTCGGGGGACTGCCTTCTGATCATCTCCACCTGGGTAATGAAGACTTCACACTTGGGGTGTCCAGAAGAGGGGCGTGTGGTCTTCCCTTTCAAATGTGTGCTTCTTCCACAATGTCCCTGATTTGGACATGGCACCACCACCCTCTCAGGCAGCACCAAAATCTGAATTCCATCTTTGCCTTGTTGTTCACCCGGAGCCTGTAACTTCATCTCACCAATAAATGGGAGAAAGAACTGTCATTATCTCCCTCTGCTTGAGTTCTGTGAACATAAAGCTAAAGCTCATACCTGAGTGAGACACCTTCTTGGAGCTGGTCCCTAGTCACCGCATGAGTCCGCCGCTTCCTACACACTCAGAAGGTGTGCTGTCTGCACAGCTCCCACCACCCGCCTCGCCGTTCCCCATTCAAAGGATGGGTTTCAAAGTCTTCCCAAAGACCTCTTTTCTTCTGTTAAAATATGTGTAACGAAATCAGAGATATTGGTAGAAGGCTGCCAAATTCCAGAAATTGGAGTCATGCGCCTCTCGTTTCCTGTACCAAACAGAAATCACACCCCCAGATGGTTCTGACCCTGAAGGGTCTACAAATAGAGCTTTGTTGCTTGTGTAACTCACCAGCTTGGCTCGGAAACACCTGTTTGAAGATACAAGCATTGCGTTAGTGACTCACCTGTGGGAGGTGTGAATGGTCTGAATTACAGTTTCCGGGGATCGAGAAGGCGTTTGCTGATAAGATAAACTCTGTCACTTCAACCTGGCAGCTTTGCAGACGAGATCTCCAGGAAGCTAAACAGTGTCCATGTGTGCACAACTAAAGGGGATTTGGGGTCATAAGACACTGGCAGGTGCAAGAAGGCTCAGCTGTAGGGCCTTCCTCTGGTGCTTGCTGGGCATGTCAACATCCAGACTTTGGTCTCACCAGGCGATGGCATCAGAATGCTCAACCCCTCCCTCACTAGGCCAGCCACACCAAAAGTTCTTTCAGAAAACCAAGGTAAGGCGTCCTCTAAAAAAGATGCAAGCGGTCTTTGTTCCTGTCTGTGCAATCTGAAACTCCAGACTTTTCTTTTGGGACTTTGTTCACTTAATCCTGTCCTGTCCTTGAACCATGAGGCATCCCAGGCTACTGCAGGTCCTGAAATACACACGAACATGTTTGGGGTGGTCACACTTTCTCCCCTAAGAAAGGCATTCCACACAACCAGCCCAGTTACTGAGAAAGGCATTCTGGCCAAAAAACCTGGGCCCCATTACTGTATTGTTTCATTTCTGTCCCTGTGTTACAATACGGAGAAAAATCTATATAGGGGATAAATGGTTTGTATTAGCACACCATTCCAGGTTATAGTTCATTATTGTGGGGTGGTCACCATGGCAGGAACTTGAGACTGATGGCCACAGGCATAGAGTCAAGAAGCCGGAGGAATGAAGGAGTGTGTGAACAACTGTGCTGAACCTCCTTTCTCCAGCCTATACAGAATCTGATCCCCTCCACGGGAATGGTGCCACCCATAGTGGGCGTTCTACTCCCCTCATATCCCAAGACTTGCCCATAGGACACTCTGATCCAGAGAACCCTTCACTGAAAATCCCTTCCCAGGTGATCCTAGACTGTCCAGCCACTTGGGGAGAGATCCTGGGCCCACCTCTAGCAACACCATGGCATGGCTCTTGGCCTCCTCTTTCTCATCGATAAAGAAGAGTGTTAAGGTTACTTTGCAGTTGTTGTAAAAATTAAAAATAAGTGCTTGTATGTCAGGGTTTCCAATTTTGTGGCTTTATGGGGGGGTTGCTTTTTCTTTGTGTTTTTTTGTTTTATTCTGAGTGATAGCTATTCTTGGTTGCCAACTTGACTACATATAGAACTAAAATACAAAAATGGGGGGGCACACCTGTGAGGTATTTTTGCTAAATTTGAAGTGGGAACATCCACTCCCAATCTGAATCTTTTTTTTTTTTTTTTTTTTTTTTTTTTTTTTTTTGGTTTTTCCAGACAGCGTTTCTCTGTGTAGCCCTAGCTGTCCTGGAACTAGCTCTGTAGACCAGGCTGGCCTCGAACTCACAGAGATCCACTGGTACTAAAGGCATGTGCCACCACCTCCGGGCATCAGTAAGACACACCTTTAATCCAAATCTTTTGAACAGGGAAAACCCACCTCTAACCTGGGCCACACCTTCTGCTGGAAGCGTATACAAGAAGATGGAAGAAGGAAGCTTTTGCTCTTTGCCTGCTTGCTCTCACCTAGCTAGCAAGTCCATTCTCTTGTTGGCATTAAAGACTACTTCTTGAGGATACCAACATATACATAAATCCAGCTGAGGCATCCAGGCTACTGGATTCTTGAACCTTCCATTCACTGGCAGCCATTGTTGGATTAGCTGGAACATAGCCTGTAAATCAGTCTAATAAATTCCCTTTCTATATGGAGAGATTCATTCTGTAAGTTCTGCTACTCTAGGGAACCCTGACTAATACATTACATTCTTTTTTTTTTTTTTTTTTTTTTTTTTTTTTTTTTTTTTGTTTTTTGCCTGTGTGTTTTCTAAAGAGAGAGAGTTGGAAGGATAGGGACGTAGGGAGGAGATGAGGAAGGGAAGTGGTGATCAGAACACATTGTATAAAAAAGTATTTTAAATAAAAAAGTATAATACTTCCAACATCTAGTTCAGGAGCTAGCCCTAAAAGGAACATGTTCACTAAAATAAAAAGAATAACTTTAAGGGTCAGAGTTATTTGGAGAAAAATTAAATATCCACAACCCAACAATGGAATCGTATAGTTCCTGACATTGCCCATATGAAACCTACAGATTGAAAGTCAGTAAAATTATTTTACAGGGTGTAAATTTGAGTGAAAAGGAAGGCTAGACTTGATCTTCATTAAGAATCCTTTCTGTGTTTATAAGACACATTTGGGGTTGTTTTGTTTTTTAAACAAGTGTCTCCTTAGATCGGTTAGTGTATGTGGTTTGACTCTGCCATGGGAATGCACCTTTGGAGTTAATCTACGTTCCTAGTCCTACATGTTTGACTTCATTTCCAGTCATTCTTTTTAGGTGTGGCTCTGGTGACTGTTATATCTGAAAGCCACATCTTGAACTAGGGATCTCGCTCACGGTGGAACTCTTTCCTTGCACATGCAAGACCCTGAGCTTCAGCTCCAGCATCATGAATAATAAAGTCTTTACACACTACACTCGGCATGTTCTCTGGAAATGTGCAGGAATATTTCACCACTTACCTGAGATTAATGGTTTGTCTTAGTTAAGGTTTTATTGCTGTGAAGAGACACCATGACCACGACAACTCTTATAAAAGAAAACATTTAACTGGCTGGCGTACAGTTCAGAGGGTTAGTCCATCAACGTCACGGAGGGAAGCAGGGTGGCACACAGGCAGACATGGCGCTGGAGAGGTAGCTGGGAGTTCTACATCCTGATCCACAGGCAGCAGGAAGTAATGCCACACTGGGCGGGGCCTGAGCATATGAGACCTCAAAGCCCACCCCCACAGTGACACAGTTCCTCCTGCAAAGCCACACCTCCCAATAGTGCCACTCATTATGGGCCAAGCATTCAAACACATGAATCTAGAGGATCATACCTATCCAAAGCACCACATGGTTGGAGGATTTTCCCAGAACAGAATGTCATTTGAAGCAAAGAATCCACCTCTTCACAACTAGTAGTTCCTGTGGCAGGTAAGACTTCCTCCTACTTGAGGGCTTTAGAAAACGGCTTAGAGGCAGGCAACTACAATATCTACTCTGGACATAGCTATTGGTTCATATATTGTTATGCGAGCTGCATCAAGCCTGACTCAGTCACTGAGTCCCCCATGGACCGATGGCAGCTGCTGGAGAAGACCCTCTTTCCTAAAGTATACCCGTCTCAGAGCTTATGAAACCACTGCAGCAGCCATGTTGTCACCATACCATACCGAGTCGTGAAGCTGAGGCACTGGAGGAAAGGTACAACAGCCTGAAATGAAAGAGTTGAGCATATGAAGGAAAAAAATCCTGGGGGGGGTGCAGAACGAGACAAAAAAAATGAAAAACTGAAGGGTAAGAAGTGACAGAGAGGTGAACCTAAGAAAAGGGACACATTCAACAGGTCAGCAAGCAGACAGGCAACCGAGAGAAGCAGCCTTCCCAGCCTCCTAAGATAACTCTCCCTCCACTCCAGCCCCTTCCCAGGCTCCGCCCCACAGTCAGCTAGGGATTCAGCAGCCAGAATTTAAAAGGGGCAACTTCCCAGTCCGGACTCCCACTGGGAACTTATTCAAGGGAATTATAAAAAATATGTGCAAAGAGTTATATGCAAGGGTTCTCACTGAACTTTATTTAAAATAATAGGAAGTTGTGACATCAGTGTCCCCAGAGAGTGTACACAATGTCCATTTCGTTTATATACGTGAACATGTATAGTCACCTGAGTACTATAAATCCTACACTTGCATAGATATTATATATCTGCCCACAGAAGTGTTACTCATGTTCAGATGTGGGTCATGGCAGGTGCATGCTTACTAGCATGCTTGTATGTTCTAATTTATTTCCTGGTGTGGATTACTTGCAGAGTGACCAGGGAGATAAATTAATCAAGTGTTAAAACTTCAGTTGGGGTGGAGCTGGGCTGTGGCTGGCCCATTGCTAAGTACTTGTCCCAGGAGGACAGCTATATGCTCACACCTCACTCTGTCCTCAGAGGCACCACCTGTGACCCTCTTGTAGGACCAGCTGCTAACAGCGCCTGATGATGGTCTCAGACCTGAAGAGAGGACCAGATACTCCTCCCCGCTTTGCTGGAAAGCCACAAGAGACCAACGAATTTCAATGGACCAAGCCACTTTCTTCAGCTTCCCTTGCTGGCAGACAGGCCACGGCACTGAAGAACAGCACCAAAGACACCTGCACAGGAGCGGGTGTCCCTGGAGCCCACCAGGGGCTGTGGTGATGGTGACATGACCTCCTCAGTCACTTGCTGAGCTAATGAACACCTGCTCACACGTAGGACTGAGAGCACCAAGATAAAATCCTTTCTTCATTCTCCTCTCCTCCTCCTCGTCGTCCACCTCCTTCCAAGACAGGGTCTCCCACTTTCATAGAATTTGCCAAATAGACTAGGCAGGTGAGCCCCAAACATCTGTCGTCCCCACCTCCTCAGCACTTGGATTACAGGTCTCTGCCACCACACCCAGCTTTTTATGTGGGTTCTGGGAATCAAAACTCAGGCCTTCATCGCTCCTGACTGGCCTACCTCCCAGGCCCTAAAATTTACCTTCACGGATTTCATATGCCTATGGTTGTTTTTGCTGTGTTGTTCAAAGTATGTCTGTTAGAGTAACAATGCCATGACTAACAGGTCACTTTTTATGTCAAGGCCAAACTTGTCTGTTCTAGGCTCCTCCCTGCACCCCAGCTTCAGGTCCATTTCTGGAACACCCAGCCTCTCCTTCCCCTTCAAGACCAGCTGCTTTTCAGTACTGTACTGAGAGGGAGGCCAGAGGGAACACAGGGTAGCCTCCTTTGAGGGATGTTCAACATGGTTCCACAGTTGACATCCTGACATCGACACACTGACTTTCTACACAGAT